ACGAGCTTCACCATCACCCAACCCAGCGTCGGCGGCAGGAGGTTCCCCTGGAGGAGCGACCTGAGGCTGGCATTGAGTCAGAGGTCTTCTTGTGTCCATTACCTGCAACTTCTCCTGCAGGGGTACTCTCAGCAGCCTCTCTTTCCGCCAGGTCGGTTGGACGTCGCGATTGTGATGGTGGCGGGAATGGTGATGGAGGAGGGTGTGTAATGCAGAGGTGAAGGGTTAGATTTATTATTTTTTTAGGATAGTGAATTTGCCTAATCCGATTTCAGATCCTGTCACAGGCAAATTAAGGCTTATTCACCCTGTTTCATTACATTCTTGATTTCCATAGTATGCAATATCCCAATGCATATATATATATATATATATATATATATATATATATATATATATATATATATACATATATATTTGTGTGTGTGTGTGTGTGTGTGTGTGCGTGTGTATGTTTGTGTGTGTGTGTGTGTGTGTGTGTGTGTTGTGTGTGTGTGTGTGTGTGTGCGCGCGTGTGCGCGCGTGTGTGTGTGTGTGGGCGGGCGTGCGTTTATGCACGTATACCCATAAACATATCAACAAAGCCTCCAATCCGCATCTCACGCCCCCCCATGCCCCAACTCCTCCCCAGAGTTCAACTGCCATGAGGAGGTCAGCCAGCTGCCGTTCCTGATGAGCAACGCCATCCCTCAGACGCCGAGGCTGACGCAGCGCTGGCAGCAACTCCTCTACCTCGTGAACTCGTGGGTCAGGAAGTACGGCGTCATCAACGTGCTAACGGGGCCTGTGTTTGATCACGACGGGGACACCTTTGCTGATAATTTGTATACTGTCAGGTATTTATCACTGGTCTTGTGTGATGCGTTGATTGTCATGATGGCATGTGTCAATGCATTTAATTCGTGTGTCGTTAAAAAGCCGAATGTTATGTTTCTCTCTGTTTCAGGTAATTATTTTTTTATGCAATTCTGAAAAAAAAATCATAAAACAAAATATTCCCACGACAAAGATTATTAATCTTCGTTTATGTTGAATTTTAACCTTAATCCTTTCCCTTTCTATTTTTTTCTGTGCATCTGGGTAAATCTCTTTCTTTCACTCTCTCTCTCTATCTATCTATCTGTCTATCTACCTATCTATCTCTTTCTCTCTCTCACTCTCACTCTCCTTCTCTCTCTATCTATCTATCTGTCTATCTACCTATCTATCTCTTTCTCTCTCTCACTCTCACTCTCCTTCTCTCTCTATCTATCTCTCTCTTCCTCTCACTCTCTCTCTCTCTTTCTCTTTCTCCCTCTCTCTCTCTCTCGCTCTCTTTCTCTTTCTTTCTTCGCTTCCTTTCCCCTTTTCCGCTCCCCTCACCCTATCCCATCTCATCTTTCCCTCTCTCTCTCCCTCCTTTCCCTCGTTTCCCCCCTCTCTTTCCCTCACATCATCCTTCCCTCCCTCTCCCTTCCCCCCCTTCCTTCTCCCTCTCCCTCCCCCTATCCCCTATTCCCTCACCTACAGGAACCCCAGCGGAGGCTTGGCTTTACCAACCCACAAGTTCCTCGTAGTAAGCAGATGCATCGTGTGGGTGCAACACATGAAGTACTGTCCCCCTGCATACGTGGACGCCCTTGCATTCGTCTACCCTCAGACCACTTCCGTTTCCAATTGTCTTGTGAGTATGGGAAGGGAGAGAGAGATTTGCTTTACGTGGGGATCATTCTTTTGTGATTTTGTTTTGGGAAGGTATGCGTGGGTTATTTTTATCATTGGTCTGATTGTGATACTTCGTGAAATGAGGAAATACGGATTCGAGGTCAAGAGAAAACACTATCAACATCATCATCATCAACACCATCATCAACACGACTATCACCATCATCATCATCATCATCATCATCAACATCAACATCATCATCAACATCAACATCAACACCAACATCAACAACAACACCATCACCACCACCAACAAAAACACGAAGAAGAGAACAAAACCACATGCCAAAACACACAAATCGCAAAGACTACCTTCTCACAGCCTCCTTACCACCCCCTTCCATTGAATCCCTCAGAGCTCCGAGCAGTACGCCAGGAAATACAGTGCTTCGGTACAAGACGTGGAGAAGATAACAGGCCTGAGACTCTTCCCCAGCTTCAGTTACAAGGACCAGGTCAGGCTCCGGGTCAGGATCCACTCCAACATCTGGGGTCGTGAGTCCTGGAGGAATCGACTCTTCTCAAACGTCTTCGGTGTTTTAGTGTAGGCCGTGACGTATGCTGTGATTAGTTTTAAGGGGTGACGAAGATTTGATATTGAAGAGAGGAGGGGATTCTGTAGGAAAGGAGGAAGGTCTTTGAGAAATGTTTAAAATATTTTGAGGAAAAAGAAGAAAAAAACTTAAAGAAAAGAAGGGAGAATATCCTTTTAAAAATTATAAACAGCTTTTAAAAAGGGGGAAAATCCTCTACGAAAAGAAGACAATATCTTAGAAAAGAAAATCCTATAATTAAA